GGGGGGGGGGGGGAAGAGAAAAAAAAAAAAAATAAAAAAAAATCAAGCCCTTTCCCACTTTCTTAATTCCAAGCCATTCCTTTACACAATTTGCACCATACCTATACCACCATTCTAGCAGAACTGACAAGAACATATCCACTCACTTTATTTCCATGGATTCTGTTGCAGAAATACATTTGGTAGGAACATCTGATAAATCCTGGTCCATAGGCTCTTCTCCATTTGTCAAACCAGATTCTAATTTGCTTTTTTCTTCTTCTGTTGCTTGAAGCTCTGGAACTAGAAAATCCTCAGGTCTAAAGAATGAAAGGCAGTTTGCTTTTAATAGTCTTACTGAAAAACCAAAGCACTACATAATATAAAACCAGGCAATGTTGACTATTACTGAGATGTTTCATAATTGTTACTGCCAACAATTTTATTACACTTGCCTTCAATGTTTCCATATTTGAACAGAGCTCATTTAGAAAATACTACCTTCCTAACTGGAAAAAAAGAACTTTGATGTCTCGGGAAATACTAGCAAATTAAGGTCCTATACAAACAGGACAAAAATCACTAAATTTTTCTAGGATGAACAATGTTATTTCCCCTCATTAAAAGTTTATCAAAATTATGTGTAATTTAAAGCAGAAATAAAGTCAGGTTAAAAAAAAGAGTCTGGCATGAAACCACATCCTAAGAGGTGTGAACACAGGCCGAGGATCAGCATTCATAAGCTTCCTGTGAGCCTTAGTGCAAACTGTCCTAACTGTTCAAAAGTTACGGCAGTTGGAAGAGTATATAACAGTGCTGCAAGAGACAGAATGATTGTTTTTATTTTTTTCTATTCTTGAATTATTTCATAGCTACTACATGCAAATATGCATTACCACCACATACTTAATAATCTCGCCATATTCGTCCCACTTAATTCTTTCTTCAGGTGCTGGAAACATTGGATAAGATTTCTTTGCCTGTTTGAAGAAGCTTCCTTTTCGGCTTCCTTCACCTTTCATCATCAAATCATGTTTGGTCTTATGTACAGTTGGCTGATCAATATCCTCTTCAGCATCACTCTCATCACTGGAATCAATATCTGCCCTGAAATGACATTGCAAAAAAAACTAGCACTTCCTTTTATTCTTCAAGTTTAATGTTACATAAACACACTGACTGGAAAATAACAGTTGACATAACACTAAGCAACAACAAGGACAGTTTATGTATCTGAGAAAGAGCTCACAGTCAAACAGCAGATGAAACAGGTCTATGATAACAACAGATTAAAAGACAAACATTTCAAATTTCTCAGTGTCCTCAGATAAGACTATCAAAACTATGATTTTCATTTATCGCTGTAAATGGTTGAAGCAGCAGAATGATCACAGAGAATTTCAACTCTGAGCATAACAGCAGAATGCAGGAGCAGCCAATATACTCACTCTTTAGACTGTTCTAACTTCTTAGCTGCTTCTTTTTTTAACTTCTCCTTTTCTAGGTATTCTTCAAGTTCTTTTCCTTCCAATTTGACACGTTTTCTCAACTACAGATAGAAATAAAATTAATGTTATTAGCTGATGTGATTTAATTACTTTTCCTATATGCTGCTGACAAGAATATTTGTGTTTAAGTACCAAGGTTAAGTACAAGTTTTATGTCACATACAAGACAAGATTAAGCAAACAATGTTACCAATTAGTAGAGTCTAAACAGTATTTCTAAAAGTATTAAAATCAATTGGCTTTACAAATATTTCTTAAAACATCGTCACAAAATACCTCTCCAATAAGTGAATGCAAATACTCTGAGATAAGCAGCATTTTTTTTTTTTCATTTTTGTGTCACTAACATCAAACCAAGAAAACCTGGAAAAGTCATACTAGGAGGCAAAACAATGGTAAGTTTTGTTTCTTGTTTTCTGAAAATCAAATTGTAGTATAGGTCACTTAGACTATTTATAGAATTCAGATTTACTCATATACTGTAATTCAATGCTTCCAATCCAATCTAAAACTAAAATAAAGCTGCATCAGGATTGAAATTATTGATCACAGTGGACTCCCATAAATTAACAATGCTTGCCAGAGAGAAGTAGATACAGGTATATAAATTATTGAAAATAATTTAAAAGTATGAATAACAATTGTGTTTTAATTCCTACCTTTCTCTTATCATTCTAATTCTGGCAGGATATATTATACTATTTTGACCTGATTCTCCCCTCATCTAAAACCAGAGTATTTTCCAGCAAGAACAATCCATCATATATTGCAACCTGTATGTCAATCACAAGCAGAATTTCTTCTATTATAACAAAATTACAAAAGAAAGCATTGTCAAAAGGTAAGTATTTAAAAGCAACTTCTGCTCATCTTTTGCCACAATACCAAAAAGCTTTCTGTAGTTCCTAACATGAGATCTATTTTTATGTAAGTTTATTCACAACTGGTTAAACATGCAACCTACCAATTTCAGATGTCCCTCTGCCGCTAGAAGTGTTTTCAGTAGATCAAAAAGGAAACTAAGTTCACTTTTGCTCATATTCTCCCAAATTGCCCACAATAAAAAAAACACACCCCACGCTTTGAGATATATAGATGACTCTTACCTCAATATCTATAACTTTTTCAGAAGGATTATCAATCAGGAACCGTGCTAATGTTCCAGGTGTAGTGCGGTAAGTTAAAATTATAGAGTTTTTGGAATCCTGGCACCACTGAATGAAAAGATCTCTAGAAAACCCACACTCTAAGTCAGGTTGACTGGCAAGAACAACTTTCGGACTAGGCACTCGAGCCAGATCAGACAGACTATGACATAAGGAGAGATGGCGGAACTGGAAAGGATTGTTTCTCTTGTCTTCAAAGCACCTCATCAACTTGTCACTCATCCATTCAACCTAAAACATGTATTAAGAAAGTTATCTGTAAGAAAACAAGTTCTATAATAATGTACAAATCTGATACGAAATACAGGATGCAATACACGTGATTACATCAATGTTTCTTAGCAAGCGTAGAAATAATGCTGAGCGTAACCAACAGAAACAAGTAGTTTAAGTCCTCTTTTTTTAACAACTATAAACTATGCTAACATGTGGGAGACATCGGCCTGTCAGCCTTACACAGCCTCTGAGAAACAGGTAGGCTTTGAAGAAAAACAGGCCTTGGAAGACAGATAAGAAGCTGCTGAGTTGTGCCAAGGTGGCAGGGAAAAACAACAGACAGCTGCAACACTGAACTGTGGAAAAGTACTAAACTGTGAGAAGTTAACACCGCGTGAACAAGAAAGTGATTGGTCTGCACAGTGCGTGTTAGAGTGATCTTATGCTGATAGGAGAAAAGGTTGATAGCTATCTAATTGCTGATTTGCTAATTATGAAGAGCTTTGGTGAGAGCCTAAGCATGTACTATTGTAATAATAAAGGGTCTTTCCTTCTGTACTTCAATGGAGAGTCCATGCCTCAGTTGCCACACTAAGAGGTTTCGTGATAAAAACAGAAATTACTATCAAAAAACATGCCCATAGTCATGACTGGACTGTGTGTTACTTGATTGAAAGATCTGAGACGCAAACATGCACCATATAATAAGGACAATACCCAGTATTTAGCCATTTTTTACTGTTAAAAAAAACAAGATGCTTTTGCATACATGTTCCATCATCCTCTTCATAATTGCATTTTAAAATCCAAACCAACCTGTGATTTAGAGAACTCCACTACATTGTAGCTGACATTATTCAGAAGCGCTAGAGAGTAGACTCCTAATCCTGCATCTTTTGTTCTCCAGATCTGATCAAGAAGTTGAGCAAGTTCCAGAACTCTGCCTGCTGTATCCACGGCTATCAGTACATTTCCATCACCTCGTAATGTCTCCAAAACATTAGCTAAGAAGAATTAAAAACAAACCAAAAATCAACTTACACTTTGAACTAAAAAGAGAATGTTCATGTCTTGTGTTTTTTTTTGTTTAGCACACTAACAATCATAATCAAAAGCAAACTGAACACAGAAATAAATTAAACTTCAAAAAAGATCCCAAACCACATTTCCACCAAAATTAGTTTTGTTGGTAGCTCTGAAGATCGCACTGCCCTGATACTACTTTTTCTTTCTTTCTCTTTATTTAAAAAAGAAACAAAAAACACCCACCCAACCCCCCAACAAAACAGTGAAATGGCATTTAAAAATGCATGTGCTGAGGAAGGTAATTTAAAAATCCCTTAAGAGATTAATTGATATGGGGTAAAATACACTGTTTTCAAATACGGTTCATTGTTTACAGGAAAATATTTAATCCATAGAATCAGTACCATCAGAAAAGAGTAATTCAAAATTTGTTAAATTTTAATAAAGGTTCTTAGTTTGGATGCTGATCAATTTCTCATAGAAAAACAATTTACTGTGGCTAATACAATACATTACTGCTACTTTCAAGCCCAAACAGAATACATACTCAGTAGCTGTTCATCCCTTTGCTTCCTCCTGGGTTGTACATAAGTAGCATTAAATGAATCTGTAATAAGCAATGAAGGCCTGCTCAACATTTCCAAGGAACATCCATTCAGATGGCTGTGGGAAAAAAGGCAAAAAAAATCTCACTTTTTGCATTTCTATTTTATGAGAAAAAAAATGTAACAGCAAGTTTCCAAATGTTTGCATGTACAGAAATCAAACCACTTAGCAGCTGAATATTTTCTGCTTCAAACTTACAAATAAAACCGAGGGGAATGAAGATACCCAGAGCTAATGCTTGTTTCAAATTAATCAATCTGAATGCAAGTGAAATTAGAAGTCTTAGAGCTGGAAAGGCACTGCTACTTCCATACCTGTTTATCACACACTATATGATGCACACCTAAATAAAATGTATTTTGCTATGTTGAACTTACATCTCCCTCTTGTGGTTGAAATCAACGGCATAAACAATTTCTTCCTCTCCATCCTTGACAATCTTCCAAATTGTGCCTCCTATCATGTGCCCAGCTGGCAATGGTGTGATCGACAAACCATGCCCTTTGCCTACAAATGTTTTCAATATTTTAGTTATGTTACATGTATTCAAACCCATTACTCTGCAAAAGAGATAGTAATTCTAAACAAATGAATGCCCCAATTATTACTGGGGAAAAAAACCCACAAATGAAGTATGAAAAATCAGTAACCTATCTGTCCTTCCCATCTAACCAGTTACTTCAAAGTATTTTGCAATTCACTTCTATTTTGCCTCCAGAAGAAGAAAGTGATCACTTCTTCCCTCCACCTCCCACTGGTACTCAGAGGCACTGCAAAGCTGCTGTAACTATAAACCTAAACCTAAATTATATAACAAACATCACATGAAAGCAAGTACACTGGCTAAAGGTAAACCCCTCTCTCTAGGACAACACAAAATGTTTAGTATGTCATTCACTGTCCAGGTATTTACAAAACCACACACAAATTACACAAACTGGAAGTTTTCCCAAATGGCAAACATGCAAATCAAATAATAACAGGAAAGGTGTTCATGTGCTGCAGTCATGGATGATGGATCTTTTCAGCAACCGGTGCCTTTTTTTTTAATGCACTGTTGTTCCTCATCATTGGTGCTAGCCTGTACCTCTGTCAGAGCAAAACTAGACCACCCATGACCATTACTCACTGACTTTGCTGCATTCCACTAACCTGAACAGAAACACAGCTTTTAATTATTAAAACATACATTATCTTTCTAAATGCACCCAGCAAGTCTTTTAGAACATGAAAAAAGTAGGGTGTTTTAAAACTGCTCACTAAAATTACTTTTAACATGTAGAAGGCAACACAGACATACTTTACTTTGCTACAAATAATCCTGAAAAAGGATCAGCAGCCTTTCAAGGATGTTATCCCACTTCTATTTTCAAAATTACAGGGCAAGTATTTTGAGAGGTAGCATTCAGGAACTGGGAGATAACTGCACCTCAGAGACAAGCTGCTGGTGGTCAGCTTGTATGTGTTTTTGTTGAAGAACAGTGTTTCCATTTCATTCTGACCTTTAAATTCAACAAGAGTGAAAAACTGCTGATCCTCCAGATGCCACAGTTCCTAGCAATAAGCTACACTATCATTCAGTCAGTGAAGACCACCTCATTAAATCACCCACATGCTGTAACTTAATCTCTGCAACCTATTCACACTCTAGAAAGCTTTCCTTTGTGTTACCAGCTACTGAAGAGTTCTGAGGTACCTACCACTAGGCATAAGTAAGTAAATGCTTTGGAGAAACATGAGCAAATTTCAAGAAAAGTTACAAAAACACAAAAGAGAAAAAAATGTCTAAATATGCTTTGGCATGACCTCCTCCTCATTAAGCAGAAATTGTACCTATTTCCACGTATAATTACTGAGTAAAACATTCAGCTGATACAAGGCTACTGAATTTAGCCCTGCAAAATGCACAAAATTTACTCCCTTTCAAAAAAGTTACTTTTAATGACTCTGTTGCCTTTCACTGAAAGTCATCTATTGAAACTCTGATGACAACTTTACCTTTCAAGTTCACAATTTGAGAAAACTTCAGCTGTTGTATCTTGTCAAAGGCTGCATCTACATCATCCAACGTAAAGAGCGTGAAATCTTCAGTATTATGGCGGGACTAAAACAAAAGTACAGAGCATTCAAGAACCTGAGCACTCTACTGTATCAGAGATACTGTGTATGAAAGTATCAACTTAAATATACCTGGTAGAGATCATACATAAACATCTGTCCCATTTTATATACAGGAATAGTTGCATAAATGGCACAATTCAACCCCATTTTTCCAACTGCATATGGAAGAGCACCAAGGTGTAGAGGGTCGGGATGAGAAAGAAGAACAGCATCAACTTGGTGTACATGTCTACAAGAGAGGCAACAGAAGTTGGTGAAAATATGGAGTATACAGCACCATACAGAACTATTATGAGAATATATACACAGTCTGAATGCCAAACAAAAAAAACTTAAGTTCTTCCAGGTTTAAAACAAAGTTTTTAAAATCATAATTAAAAGTTACAATTATTTCCAAACATTCAAGTACTTAAAAATGCAAGTCACACCTGGAAACATAATTTCAAGGTCTGGGAGACACAGGTTTTGCATAAATTCCTAATTAGGAAGACCTTAATATATACTTGGACACCAGAAAGGACATTAACTGAGCGGCCAAAAATATTACCAGTGCTACAAATTGTTTATACATCTAAAAACCTTAGACTACAACTTTTCTTCTGATAAGAAAGACTAAGTAACAGGACCAAAGACACAACAATCCCTAAATATTTAAAACAGAAAAAGTCAAATATATCATTTAAGAAAAGCAGCACATAAATTTTGGGGGTTTTATTCATTTTAAAAACAGAAGGTTTTTTTCTTCCCAAGTGCTGCATAAAGTAAGAACTCATGCTAAAAACCTACTACCTATGCTAACTGAAAAACTTGAGGGCAGAAAACATATGCAACAAGCTAAAATACTTATAAAACAAGCTAAAAGTTAGGTTGAAAACTTTTTGTTCCCTCACACAGCAACTGGGGCACACACATTTTTCTTGATGGCTATTATTAAAATGGATCTCACCTAATTGCTTCTCAGACAAGACACCCTACAAATTTTATAAGTTATCCATAAAACATAATAATCCTCAGTTAAAAGACTTCAAACACTACAAAAGTGTGTCAATGCCAGAAAAGGCAATCTATAAAAATAGCATCACAAAGCTGCGTTTCTTTCAGGAATTTCCATGTTTCAGTCCTAACCTTGTAATTAATGCTTGCATCAGCAAAGCTCCTTACTGAAAACCTGCAGATGTTCAGTATTAAAGTCTAGACAGGTTTATTTCTTCGCAGGGCTGGGATAACTAACAGAAGCTGTTTTCCTGACTGTCTATTTAACTTGAAACAAGAAGTAGCTGAACCACTTTGCATCCAGCCTACATACACATAAGGATTCTTTCACTTAAAACTTAGTTAGCCATTCTAAATTAGTTCAGAGCCAAGGTCGGTCTCCCACAAACTGTGCTCTAGGTCATGTTTATGAAAAAAGCAAAACATCCAAGCCAAAACAAACATGGCGCAGTTTTGAGAATTACAGTTAATAGATGTAATTCATTAGATTCACAAGAAAAAAAATCCAAATTTTTACTAGAAATGTTTCAGCAGCATAGTTCTCTTCATATAAAACATACTTCAAGCAACAATAGAGTATAATTTTGGATTTAACACCACCATACACATATCATTGCACAGTATTTTGAAAACTTTCATAAAAGGGCAAGACATATTAAAAAAAAGGTACAGACTGAACTACTTACTTTCTCAGAGAATCAATAATATCCATAGAAAAGTTTTCATCCCAACCACAATCCAAAAGAAAGCGAAACTCATCTACTTGCAACAGATAGCAAAGGGCAGATTCCTCCTGCACCCCTGAAAGCGTAGTCAACTTGATAATCGATGTCATTTTCCTCTCCAAGTGTTTAATCTTCAACAGAACTAATCTGAATGAGGGATTAAAATGTTTCATTTACTATTTCAAAGGAAAAGTCTATTAACTTAGATCTAACTTCATACGGTTGTGAATACTGTTCAATACAGCTACCGAGTATCAGTTAAGTCTCAGATAATAACTTTTGACGGTTGTAGGTCTTTCGTTGTTAGAAAAACGGGTTTCTATATAGTTTAAAAAAAAAATCACTAGGAGCAGTGCAGTTAAAGGCAGCTCCGAGCCGGGGGCGCATCCAGGGACATAGCGCTAGGAGGGCAGCGGCCCCTCAAGCCCGAGTGCCTGAGCGCAGCGCAGCTCAGCGCGGGGCGGGCCGGCGGCTCCG